TTTAACAAAAAAACGAAGTCCAGATGACATGATTCAACCTTTTTTGTAGTTTAATCAATTGTTTACAAATGTAGGTAAACATTGATGTTTAACAACCCCTTAAAATAGGCTACACCAAAATGCAGGAAATAGCATCTACTTTATTCAAAAATTTAGGGGGGAGGAGGACCCACACACCCCCCCCCCCCCCCCAGCCCCTCCCCCCCCCCCACATCCCCACCGAATTTAATGCTAATCCAAACATTAAAAGTGTTATGTTTGAGGAAAACTCTGCATTCCTGCATAAGAACCTTTTCTTACTTTTACAACAATTCTGAGTGACTCAATGCCGGACAGGACAAGGGAAAAACAAAAAGGTGATAGAGAGACAAAATTAACCAGTTTCTTGCCAAATAGTGAGCCAAACCTGCCACCTATATATTTCATCTAGAGTTGTTATATTAAACATTTCACACTAAGTTATTTCCTTGTAAGCACTATAAGCATTTGTAAACCAATGTCTTTAACATATAATATTGTAGTTTATCACTGCATTATAAGTATATACAACTAATATTATATCCTTAAAAAAATTGGGTTTACAAATTCTTATTGTGTTTACAAGGTAGTAACTTAGTCTGAAATGTTTAAAATAACAACTCTAAATTAAATATATAGGTGAACAGATTTAGCTCGCTATTTGGCAAGAAAGTAATCAGTTTTGTCTCATTCTTGCCCTTAGTTAATGCATAATAAACAATTATTAATGATTTATAAAAGTTTATAGAGGAATTAACAATGTATCTATAAATTACTAGCCATCTATAAGGGGAGCCTTTTTATTATCATTCTCTCTTTCGCTCTAAATGAAGATGGTTTGTCTTACCCGTTACCCTCCCTCCTACCTTTTTGCTCTTTTGTCCTGTCAACCACAGAGCCTCTCTTTTATACATTATTTGAATTAAAAAAATATTATGTTTTGGTCAACTGGTCCCTCAACACAATTGATAAATTTTTTCCACCAGATGACAGGGTGCTGGAGAGCCCTCATGCCCTGAATGGACTCACACAGCTGGATATGTTATTGATTCCTGAGGTGAGTGGAAGATATTGTGCCTATCTGTTCTTTCCGTGGAGGATGTAGAAAATGTGTACATTATTGGATTTATGATAACATGATTTCTGCTTTTTGGAATCGGCAGATACCTAGGATACTGACAAATTAGGAAGACATCGGCAGCAGTTTTGGCCTTGGTAAATCTGCCAGCCTTATGTGAAGGATTAATTTGTGCCTCGAGCTCTCAGATTCATATGCTTACCGAACTCAACCGCAAGCTGGATGTGATTTCTGAGAATCGAAGGCCACTTGTGGCTCGTAGAACTCACCAGCATGAAGGAATCAATCTTGGAGAAAGCTAAATCGAGCACGTACCAGATGGAATGTCCATAAATCTGGCTGTTTGGATTTGCCATTGAATATACCAGCAGAACTTGAAGGCAGACAGAAATCAGAGTCTGGCAGCCCAAATAATTGTTGTTTATCTGAATTTGGCCTCCCCACTGGCCTTGGACAGGCCAACTTACCTCAAATTGCTCCTGGAGGATACGTAAACTAGAAGCTTCTGTCTCCGCACCCCCACCCCCGAGGACATCTATGGCTTTATCAGAACCCATGACGCTGATAGACACTGTACCATCTTGTCAGAACTTTGGAACTTTCTGGAGTGTTTATGGACTACTCAACACCTTTGTCGACCTCTATGCATAAATGGATTATGATGCCATTTTATGTTGCTGCTTTTCATTAACCTTTATTTAACCAGGCAAATCCCATTGAGATCACAGATCCTTTTTGCAAGGGAGGCCTGAGCCTGAAGGCAGCCTAACATGCATGTTTTTGGTCGGTCTGAGGAAACTGGAGTACCCGGAGAAAACTCACGCAAGCACAAGAAGAAAATGCAGACTCCAAACAAAAAGACCCCAGGTCCAACTGAAGATTGAACCCAGGACCTTCTTGCTGTGAGGCAACAGTGCTAACCACTGAGCCGTCGTGCTGACATGCTTTATGTCGCAAGGTCTTTTTTTTGCATCTTTTACACTGTTTCCCAGCCAGGACATGGTGTGAGACATGATTTTTTTTGGCTTCCTCCACCCTCGTGTTCTCTTTTTCTCATCTGCCTGTATGCTGTATGTAACAGGTCTCTCTTGATAATGAGTCTACGAGGCTTAATGGGATCTAACCTGTATAAATAAAGGTCTAATAATAATAATATTGTAAAGTGGTATCTGCTTTTGCAACAAATATGTAATATTGAATCATTTTCCTAAATAAATAAATTACAATGTATAATATTTTTATCTCATTTGTTTGGGTTCTCTTTATCTACTTTTAGGACTTGTGTGAAAATCTGATGATGTTTTAGGTCATATTTATGCATAAATATAGAAAATTATAAAGACTTCACAAACTTTCAAGTACTTTCAAGAACTTTCAATCATTTCCTGGCTTGCAGTGATGATAAATTACTTGATATGGTTACATTAAATAACTGCTCTCAACCAAATTCCTAAGTAAACTATTTATCAAATAACAAAAAAGTTAAATCATGTCATCTGGACCAGTTTCTTTAAATGAGAAACGTTTTAGCCCCCATCCAGAGGACTTTGTCAGTCAGCAACCTGCCAACCAGATCATAAAGAAACTGGTTCAGATGACATGATTTAACCTTTTTTTGTTGTTATGTACTTGAATAATTGAGCTTACAGCCCTTTTTCTGAACCACTTTTGCCTTGGTTGTCCTCTGGCTGTTTCTGTGAGTAGCAAGTTGGCCATCTGGCTATAAAACATTGTTGTACATGATGACTGATTGTTTTGGATGGGTGTGTTTTGCACATGTTAAAAGCCTACTTTTGAGATTCCAACAGGAGGTTGGCTTGAAACACATCAGTGAAGGCTACTTATGGTACAGATCTGGTTGGCAAATCGTAGACTGAAGAAGTCCTCTGGATGGGGGATGAAACGTTTCTCACAAAGAAACTGGTCCAGATGACATGATTTAACCGTTTTTGTTGTTATTTACCTGGATTAATGATCTTACAAACGTATGTATGTATGTATGTACGTATGTATGTATGTATGTATGTATGTATGTATGTATGTATGTATGTA